TTCTTTATATTTTTCATGTATCAAGGACGTTGATAATGTCCTGACCTCTAAGGCTTCTAAATATAAAAGGCCCTGCCATGTAACACAGACTGAAAATTTCTCCTCGTTTCTGCATTTGAGTGTCCATATTGCGAGGTCTCTAACAGAAATGAATCGCACAAGCTTTTATTGTTAGTATATGTTCACACCGAGTGCTGTCGTCGTCTTTGGGTGGTAATCAATAGGCAAAAACCAGGGAACAAATGAACCAAACACATATATGAGCATTCTTAATGAGCTTAGGCTAGATTAAGCAACTAATGGCACGATGATAGCAACGGTATGAAACTGCTGTGCTGGAGTACTCTGTCATCGTTTGCGATCAGTTTATTACTTGGGTAGTTCAATCAGCATTGTTTCGGATTCCTAGTCAAAACATCGAACAGTTTAATCTTGCAATTTAGGTCTAAAAATGAATATAGTGTTTTTGAAGGAAAGGGGTACCACATGCCATGTGTTTTCGCTCGTCCAGATCATCATCTTGAGTTTTTTGCATAAACAGAACGTGTCTATTTTGGGTGCCCGCGCTGTATTCGCAGCTTTGCAACTTTTTTGTTATATGACACGGGTTACTCCTTTGCAGAAGAAAATATTCTTTTCCGAATGTAGATCTGTTTCTGCCTTGTTCTCCGTGCTGCATGCTGGCCTCCGGATCAACGCTCACGCGAAGAGCTGACGCCTGGAACTAATGGTGTATACTCAAACACTTTGCCTGACATGGACAAATTCATCTTTTTAATCTCCACATTTGCCAAGATCACTTGTACCCTCTTGTAGAGTCATTTCTTCCATTTTGCCCTTATTATGCACTAACTCCACAGTTAATTTGAAACCATTCAGATATCTCTATTTCATCTGTAACAGCAGACATTATTCGTGCATACATCTCTTCATAAGTAGAAACGATGTGTTCAGGTATACCGTAGCATTTCAAGATTTTCCGCGTTTTCAGACAATGCAGTAGATCTTAAAATCCAGATAATTAGTATAAGCATTTGAAATCTTCGAAACTGCTCGATGATCCCACGAAAAGTGAAAATTTGGCCAGGACATGAATGCCCCTTTCGGAAGCTTGCTTGTTTTCTGCGAAATTTTTCTTAAATGGCCTGCCTCAGTCTTTCCAGGATAATCCATGAGAAATGTTTCCAGGAGTTGACAATAGTGGGATACCGTGATAATTGGAACATTCAGTCACCGACCCCCTTTAACTACAAAAACAGTTTCTCCACACTTCAGTTCTCCTGGGAAACGTTTGTGGGTCTGCATTTCATGAAATAGCATGATGCTTTTCCGCCATATCCACCCGTTCATTCATTTAATTAATTCTGGAAAAATTCGATCTACCCTGCAGACCTTCTTCACCTTCAGGTGTAGCAGACTTTTTGGATGTTTAGTTTGGTTGGTGAATTTGTACAAATCTGTGGTGCTGGCAGAGAACTGAGTGTCAAAAATGACGAAGCTGGAGGGCAGCCGCTGTCGATTCTCAGATCTTCTGAGGCGTTAATTCGAACCAGTAAAATGTAATACCTGTGCTTCTGGATAGTGTCATACTGAGTCTCATGCTTACTCGGCAACTATCGCATCCCTCTGAGCACTGTTCGCCAGTCGCCTTTTCTGGCTGCCGAGTTTGCCCAGTTTCCCCTTCAGCCAAAGTTCTCTATCTCGCCTGCAGCTCTAATTGACTGCACCAACAAGACATCGCTGAGTTGCCTTCGAGAGTGCAATGGGAAGTTGCAGGTACTTACTCATTTTTGCCCTATTCTTATGCACTGTAAGGGTTAGGGAGGGTCGATTCCATAACCAAAGAAGTATGACTATTCTCTTCCTGACCATAATTATGTTTTTCGCTGAGAAAATGAAGGTTTCTTTGAAGTATTTGTAAGTTTCATCTATGTTGCCGCTTTTCGATTTCACTGAGGTTGGCATTAAAATAACTGTACTTGCTTTTGGTAAACTGGCCGCGCTGCTTCAATCATATTATAACTTGTCAATTTCGGGCAGCTGATGTGTTTCAGCCGGACGACCTCTATGAGATACGACTAATTTTTGACCAGTTGATGATCAGATTCAGTGCTAGTGCCACGTCTGACACGAGTCTTGAGTAACGAGCTGTGCCATTTGCGGTTGATGAGGACGTGATCCAGCAGGGCGTTTAGGCTTCCACGAGGGGCCGTTCAACAGGTTTGCTAAATGCTCTTATGAGAAGAAGGTTATGAGTATGCTGTTGTGGTACAAACACTGCATCCAGTCATAGAAAACATTTTTGTCGTTGTCACTCGAATCATTTGTTGCGGAATATGCTTCATTTACACTCACACGACAGACCATATTTTCTCTGATACCAATTCCACCGCAATAGCTGCCCAACTTACTTTAGTGGACAAGAGGATATCCGTATCTGAGGGACAGTTTACTGTGGCCTGACTTGCAGGTCAAGCATCCCCTTCCTCGGGAGGTGAGCCTCTTTGACTACCAGTAATTCGAACTAGAATCCATCTGCCGTACGGCCAATATGACCTAACTTATTTTCACCGAACATGGAACATGTAATGTTCCAGCCTACAATACTGAATTTATTTCTTGTATTGTTTACTGCTGGAATCGAATTTTTTGGTTCCTTGTTAATTGGTAGGTTGAGAGCGGAAGTTGAACTTGACTATCTTACCACACGCCATTATCGTTGTCAGAGATATTCTTCAGAAGCCTATCTTCTATATCTGATCGCATGTAATATAAATGAGCATTAAGGCTTACGTGTGAAATAATAATGCAGCAAAATGTGAATATCATCGAGGTGTAAGATAGAGCTCGTTCCACGGTTACAAGCACTGCTTATCGTTTCTTTCTAACTAGATTTTGATACTGTGTTCAATTTAGGAAGGACAATATCGACCGTTCGCTGGAGACGGCGATCGAGCACACACCGGAGTCTTTCGGCAACGTCTCCATGCTGTACATCAGGTGCAAAGTAAATGGACATGACGTGCGGGCTTTCATTGACACCGGAGCCCAGACGACGTTGATGTCCGCAAAATTTGCTCAAGAGTGTAACGTCATGCGTCTGGTTGACAAGAGATTCGAAGGTGTCGCAAAAGGCGTCGGCACATGCAAAACACTGGGACGAATTCACTTAGGTTCGTCTTAGTGTTTCTTTTTGAAATATTTTTTATTGCAACGCAAGCTGCACCGAAATATGATATACTTGTTCACTGATAATCATTCAATAAGAAAACAATATCAAGACGTTTAATTTACACAGTTAAAGTATTTGTCATGTGTTGTTTTTCTCATCATTGTAACAAAGGAGAACACAAGCAGAAAGAGAACGGAAGAAGTATTTTGAATGAAGCAGTGAATGGGACTGCTGAATACTGATCGATTAAGGAATTACAAATTGTTTCGTTGATGGGTTTGTGCCAGCGATTCATTTGTCGCACTGGCCTTCTTCAGAGTAGTATGGCGAGTGTTGGTTCTGAAATTAGTTTCTCTTCTCAGCAGATGTTGTTTCCGGGCCAAAATGTCTTCTGTCCACCATACACCAGAGAATTTCTGTAACATTCAAACGAAAATTTCGATTTGGCTATTCTTTTATCAGTTTCATATTCGTTATATTGCGTAATATTGAAATTTGTCATCTGTTGCTGTGTTCATATCATAGCTGGAGTGCTACCTAAAAATTCAGTCAATCACTCAGTTCGATGACTGTTTTTATTTACTTTCGGTCACGGAGACAGGAGAATCAGGCATTCTCTAATGTTTCTGATCCTGCACTAGCGTGTGGGTTTTGGCCAAAGAAACTTTGAGTGTGCATAAGAATCCTTTGAGACACTTAGTCAGTCGGTTGAACAAGGAATGGCTGTTTCACGGTGCTGTTTTAAGCGTCCGCAAGCCAGGCTCAACCCGCCGTAGCTGTAATTTCTCAGCCGGGTGTGGCAGTGACTGTAGATCAAGGCTGTCCAGGATATGTTAAATTCGGATCATATCAAATCGCGTCAACTTAGCGATTGGCCTTAGAAACCCTGATTCGCTCCCTTTTACCGGAGATCGCAGTGACCAGTCATGATCCAACTCGTCATAGACCATGATTGAGCATGAGAAAGAAAATAGACTTGAATACAGACAGTGGTTGGTTCAGCTTTGCTTTATTGACAGTGATTCGGGACTGTTTTCGTAGAACGTCGGTGGCCATCCTGATTTGCCGGTGGACTTCTATCCCGCATTTTCCGTCATCATTAAACGTGATAACGGATATGTGAACACATTTGATGTCAACGTGCTGGCTGTTCTCGTTTCCTTATTTCCTCCTTTATATTCTGATTGTAAATGCTTATCTCGAATTCTAGTAAATTTTTGATTTATATACTGCCACATCTGCGCGTTTCATACGGTAACTGCTTTTACAATGTACGAACTCAGTCATTAAATATTTTTTTTAGCTCAGCTCCAAATTGAAGATGTATTTTTGCCTACTTCGTTCACTGTTCTTGAAGACTCCACCGTCGACTTGCTTCTTGGACTAGACATGCTGAAACGCCATCAGGTAATCACGACACATTGCGTTGTAAATCAGATTGTAACTTGTGCAGATAATTTACTCATTCTTCGAGTAAATGCCAGTACGAGAAAACTAGAAACTGCCCCTCCCCAGCGGTAAAAGTTTGCTGTCACTCCCACTCTTCTCGCCTTTCGTTTTGGTCAGTATGTGTTCCATTCCTTGTTAAGGATTGGAATTGAAGGCTCTCATTAACTGACAGAAGGGGTCTCTTTCGTCAGCAAGATTGAGGTTTGCGAAAGGTCTTCGCTACCAGCGTTCCCTAAGTACTTTCTACTGGATTATTGTACTTGACCCTGACATTTGGCACTTTTTGTCTGTTTCTTGTCATATGATATTGAACTGATGAAGAATTCATTAAATAGCTGAATTTGCATCAAAGCTTATTAAAACATTAGATTTCGTTAAATACCCTCGCTGTGCCTTACAGTGCGATAAGAGTTACTTGAGTCTGCTTGGTTTTGTTAAAATTTGTGTGCAGAGTTCCTTGCATGTAATGCATAATGTGCACTGAGGTTTGTTTTGGATTATTACAATGATTTAAAAAAACAATGAATGACTCTAAAAACTGAATATTGTTGTCTTTAAGGAGATTGCAATAACCTAGAATGTAACCAGTGTACTTAAAAACATCTATGGCCGGCTGGCCCTAGGAACGTAATTGTGACTCATATTTCTTCCTCTACGGGTGAAGTTGTTTATCGTTTTTCGGTCTATTAAATTATAATTCGAACACTTGGGCATTTTGCGCGTTTGTTTCTTTTAAAATATCTTGTATGATAAAATTGTATCATTTATTAGTGTGTGAAATTCTTACAAGCGGTTGTTTCTTGCTGTCTTTCAATGGATGAACATATTACGACATATTACTTAATAGAGTCAGCTTTGGACTGTCAGACTGTTTGACTGAATTCCAGCAGAAGTGCCATTGCGAACTGGATCACGGACAAAGCTGCGTTAGGAAACTGTTTAAAATTCGCACTGTACTGATTGAGAGCATACGCTTACTGTTGCAGCTACTGTCAAACTAGTTCATATTACTACCCATATCCATGACCACATTAAAAAGCAGCAAATTTACGGCTTTATAATTCTAAATCTGCTGTTTGGAAATTTATTTAACTGAAATTCAACTCATTTACAATGACCTTGATATGTGTAGATAGATATCGATAAACAGATATATGATTTATGTATCTCGCTGATAACCGTGGTACTGATATCGTCATACTGTTGTCTCATTGCTGTATATTCAGGTATTAATAACTAACATAATTGCTTTCAGTGCATCATTGACTTGCGTCGAAACCTGATGGTAATTGGCACCACTGGAAGAGAAACGAAATTTCTGCCCGAAAGTGAAATCCCGAAAACCCTTTTGAACATTGACCCTGAAGATCTGAAATCATGTGCAAGCATGTCGTGAAATTGTTTTTAGGCGGTGGCCGTTTCGCATCACTGCATTCGGAGTTGTTCCTGTTCCAACAGACTGGTGGGTATTTGCATTTGAAATTGGACCGAACTTTCCGCTTTTATTGAATTAACTCAGCTACTCATTTTTGCCAGTTTGGAAAGTGAACATTTGTGCCTCAAAAATCTCTAACCTCTGTCCATTGTTTTTTGATACTTAATTCACTGTTTTCAATGCTCTGATATTTCCAGTAATGTTAACTATAAAATACGTTCTAGGTCGTATTTCCTTTTTATACAGTTTTTCACCAACTTTACAATGTTGTACTCTGCATTGTTTTCGTTCATTGACCAATGTATTCTTGTGTTGCATATTTATCTGAATTTATGGACCGTGCTTGTTGAGATATGTTGTCGTTATGTAATAATGATTTGTTACTGATTTTTCAGTTTTTGTTTACCAGTAATCAAAGTTCTGATAAATATATTGAAGGGTAGAAGCAACCCAGTGTGCGATTTCATTAATGGGCAAATGCAGCAAAATGCATGCTTCCTTCAGTCCCTATGAACCTCGAACCAAAGGTTCCTGTCCACAGACTCATGCTGGGTCCGAAATAGCAATGAATCTGATCATAGTAGATGACTAGCATGGTGTGCACTATCACAATGTAACCTTTAATAAGTTAATGATTTCGTGAAAGTCAAACCAACACGAATCCATTTTTGTGACACACCTGAGAAGATTATCAACTGGGTATGCAATTTTTGTTCACGAGGCTGAACACAATTTTTCTTGTGCGCAGACAAGCGCAAACCGTACATGTGAGCAATTTTTATTTCAGTCGCACTTGTTTTTCTCAACGTGTTCCCGTTCAGAAAGGATCCCTTGCTGCGGTCAACTGCTTTCAGATTTTTCGATCTTGGGTTGAATTTTCGGTCACTCGTCAGTTTTATATTGTTCTACGCGACAAGATACCACATTTTCTTGGCAGTATTGGTGCTTTGACTACATTGAGTCTTCTTTTCAATAAAAACAACCGAACCTGGATCAGCCTTTTGGCATTGGTGCTGCGCCTCAAGTGTCTCTTACGAAGCCGTTCCGGGTATATTCGTTTCTTGGCTGACGTGTCAGTCTGAGCACTCGCATTTCTCCAGAGTAGCCAAACAGAAGTATCAGACTTTCTATCGTTCTGTATACATCTTCCCATTAGATTTTATGGGCATCTTTTCTCATAATACACCCCAAGTTTCTCTTCATTTTAGCCACTTTTAAGAAGATTCCTTAGTTCGCTGTAGATTTTCCCATTATTTTGAATTTTTGGGTCTGAGGCAGCATGTCCCTTCTACTTTCACTAATGTTAATGTTTTTCCTTTTGTTTTCTCCATGGAAACAACCCGCTATACGTTCAGACTTGCCTCTGCTTTGCCGAAGGCTATTCTTTTCAAGGATTTTTTCCATACCTCTGTTTTTGACTCGTTTTTTCACTGCTCAGCACAATTTCATCGGCATAAAGTATCTCATGAGGAACTGTTTCACGCAGATCTTCAGTTATCCTGTCTATCGCCATCGGGAACAGAAATTGGCTCAATGCTGAACATCGATCGATTCTCATCCACACTAAATTCTTCCGTTTCGTCCCATGACTGCACACTCTCGTTGTCACTCCGTCATGCATGTCTTTCTTAAGTCTGACATTTTTCTGGCACCAGTTTCTTTCTCACAATCTACCATATTATCTGCCTTGATCTAAAGCTTCTCCTGGTATAGGAGCACTATGCAAATGTCCTTTCAACGTTGTCTTTATGTTTCGAGATTGATCTTAAAGCAAGGATGGTATCCGTGATTGACCGGATTGACATAAAGCCAAATTTCTTTGCTGTAATATCGAATTCTTTCCTTAGCGTTTTTGTCTAGCATCCTTTCATATGCCTTTGTGGGGTGGCTGAGAGTTTCATTGCCCGATAGTTTTCATAGGTGAATGTCCCTTTTCATTTTGTGCTTCAAAATACTCTGCCTCCATGATTCCGGCATTTTCTTACATTCCATAATTTTGTTGAATAGTGCGCAGAACCAGGCCACCTCTTCATGCCCTGTGCTTTCCATGCTTCTATGGGAACACCGTCCGAGCCAACGGACGTTTTATGCTATATTTTGCTCAAGGCTTGTTCCACATCACCAGGTGAGACCGGTTTTGTAGAATCTCTTCCGTTGCCTTTCTTATATGTTTTTTGTTTAGTAGTGTTTGGAAGTACTTTCGCCATCGGTTGCGAATATTTTTCCCGTCGATCAGCGCCACTCCGTTTTCATCTTTTATGCGTTTCGCTTTACCGACGTCTCTTGGTCTTCTTTCTCTGTCTTTTGTTGCGCCATAGATGTCTTTCTTCCCTCTTGGTGGATGGCATATTTTGTTCTTTCTTCCGCGCTGTTTGACAGCTGCTATTTTTTGAACAGCTCTTTCTTCTGTCGTAGACACCTGCACTTCTGCATTCTACCATGACTTTTCTTTCTGAATGAGTTGTGTCTTTTGTTTCTCTGACTAGATTCTTTCATTCACTACGATTTTGTTGGACATCCGTTCATCCGTTCCCATACTTCGTCTAATTGCTGTTCCAGTTATCTTTCCTCATTTTTCTCGCTACTTCCTTTTTGAACGTTTCTTTCTTCCTTCAGGCTTCCACCATTTTGTTATCGTCATGCGCATCATTTATTGGACTCTTCTAGAACTACTAGAGGTTAAAAACTTAAAAATGCATGAAAACTATTTTTGCACAGCGTAAACAAAAAAGTTTATTAATTTGGTGGTTGATCAGTACCGACGTTTCGACTCGTCTCTCACGAGCCTTCTTCAGGTTGGCCCAAGTTCGTTTCTGCAGTTGGTTGCGTGATCCGCAGTTGTTGTGGCGTCTGGAGCCGAAGACATGCGTTTCGCCAATGATGTTGATTAAGCAGTTGTTGATTTGCCGGTATGATTATGCTTGTCCAATTTACATAGAGTTCGTATCCTTTGTCCCGGGTGCTATTTTCGGGATTGGATAATTAGGGCTTCTTAGATTTGTTTACTTAGCTTCTTCTTTCTTTAGCGATGCCCTCCGTTCTTAAAATTGGGGTACTTTACTGCGTGCCGCTCGATCGGGGCCCTTTCACATTTTATTTGACCATCTTAGGAAGTAGGGTTTGTTTTTTCTGCTGAATGCTTTGTCCTTGAACGTTATTCGAGTTCGTCTGCAGTCACCTAGTTTAATGTCTGTCTTTTGTTCTTTCGGTGATGATCTTTCCCGTTTCTCCAATATAGTATTTCCTGCAATTGCAAGGTAGTTTGTAAATCCAATCTAAAGGGTTCTTATTTTCAGAGTTAATTAACAAACTATTAAGTTTATTGTAGCTTTTATATGTAACATTAATAGTGTATTTACTGTAAAACAGTTTTGTAATTTTTCGCTATTGGAATTTTGCCTCGATTCTCTGTCATATTCATTCTATCAGTAAATTTCTTTCTAATCATTCCGTCAGTTTCGATGACCGCTTATTCTTTCGGGTTGCGGAATGAGACACACAGGATAATGACTCCAAAGTATCTGATCCTGATCCAGCGCTAGAGCTTTGGCAAAAGGCTACCCGAATCTGAAGCAGAGTCCTTCTGTACAATTGCCTCAGGCTATGCTCGACCGTTCTTGGGGTCTTCACCTGTAGGTTGAGCAAATAGTAGCCGCTTAGCCTTCCTCTTCACAGTACTTGTCAGCTGTGACTTTCAAACTGAAGAAGAGGTGGCTGTATGCCAAATTCATCTCGGATATCCTACCTGCTGATCATGTCGAAACGCGTAAGGCCAGCAACTCCTCTAAGAAAGCCGATTTCAGCAGCCTCTACCCGGGTTCGAAGTTTTTCAGTGATGGTCCACGATTCATGACCGTAGGTAAGCATGGATTTAAGGATCGACTTGAACACCGAGAGTTTAGTTTCCAGACTGAGCTCTGCTTTAGTCATCATGGATCGGGCTAGTTCAGAACGCCAGTGGCTATTCCAACTCGCCGTCGATCTCTTCCTCCGATTTTCCGTCACTAGCAAATACACTTCCTAGGTACTTGAACTTCACCTGCTCCACTGCCTCTCCGTTAACCTGAAGAGAATAACGGGCAGGAGAACTAGAAAGTATTAGGCTTTTTGTTTCAGATGCGTTCACACGCATGCCGGTCACGTCGCACTCGGCTGCGAACCTTTCTAAGGAGC